CCCTGTGGGATGGCTCTCTATGTCGATCTTTTTGATCGAAGCTGGCCAAGTCACCCAACAATCCTGCATCACCACAGTCTGGGCCAGGCATGCTCAGGAATGCGAAACTGTAACATCTGTAGGGCTTTCAGCAGAATGTCATTGAAGTGTACCACCAGCGAGCTCACACGGCTCTGCGCCTCAAGCGTCATCGACTGGGTGTAGGTGGCAAAAGTTGACTCCTGAAGGTACACCTCAAGGACACGTGTTGAAAGCCATCTGCCTTTTCTTCTCACATATTCTGCGTCTTCTGTGGTCTGCAACCAGTACGTGGCGCCCCCTGGTCTAAGGCTGGAAAGCGAATAAGGTGGGGATGCACTTTCTCCACCTCCGACCAAGCCAAGTGCGGTTTGTAAGGCACTGAACCTCTTGCGCAAAGCTTGAGGGGATCTGTTCCAAAGAGGTTCTGAAGGTAGCAGCCTCGAAAATACACCATCCAACAACAGGACAACGTCCCTAGGGTCAATCCTAGAGGATTGGTGACGTGCTGCACGGCCACGCGTCTTGGGGAGCTTTATCTTCAACAATGCAAACCAGGTTCCCGGAGCTGCATCCCTGGGGAGTATGAGGTCTTCACGCTTTGCTTGGAAGATCTCGCCGATGCGCAACACCCCAGTCCAGCCTAAGGCCAGAATTGCAGCCTCCCGACTCCAGCCCCACAAAAGGGCCAGTCCAACGGCAGCGAGGAGGATGGATTGCGGGAGCGCCTTGTTATGCTCATGGGGCTCGTCCACGACCCAGTTGAAAGCAAGGTCCCAACACGCCGCCATCTGGCGGCGCAACACTGGCCTCCTGGCCGACACAGCATTTATTGTCTCGGAAAAGCGGTTGTAGCTCTTCCCCGAAACATAGAGCTCCTTGCCATAGGCAACCAACAGCTCAGAGATGTAATCGGCGTCCAACGAGCGAGGCTCGAGCAAGCATTCCAAAGTGATCCGAACATTTTCTGAAAGCCAACGATCGAAGGCCAGCAGGTACTGATCTCGTCGGTTGCGGGTGCTCTGAAGAACAACCCGGTCAGCCTGCAGAATGGTGCCCTCGCGACGCTGGGCTCTCTGCTCTTCATCTTTGTTGCTCGGTCCCATCGGCATGGCAGCGGCCGACCTAAAAACGCCCCAAAAAGCTACGGTATGGAGCTGGGAGGTATCCCAAACCCAAAAGGGGGGCCCACGGGATTTCCAGCACCCAAGCGAGGAACAAGTCCATGACATGGGGAGACCAGCACGAAATCCAGGGCTGTGGTGGGAACCAAAGATAGACGCAGTGAGGCAAGTGGCCAAAATCAAGGCCAAGATGAGAATCCACATTCCAAGAAAATGAGCATGCTTCGGAGAGAAATCGACTGAGCTAGCTGCAACACCAGGGCAAGAGCAAATGCAGACAAGTAGATAGAGCCGGATCCAATTGCCTGCTGCCCTTGAGAACTGATGAGAGTGCACAGTAGCAACTTCTTCAAAATTGAGAGCACTGACCACGGAGAACTTAGCACCAGGTAAGGCTTCTTTGTCACGGGATGGAGCATCTGCTGTATTGAGCCTTGTCGGGGCAAAACCATAGGCTGGGTGAAGGTTCCCAGCAATCTGGTAGGCACAGGACCTGAGCAAAGAGGGCCTAAGGGAGTAGGCGGCAGATCGCCCCTTGGCATGTGCACCCTTTGCGACTCGGCTGTCCAGGAGGATGTTGAACCGCAAGTCGCCTCCTTTCTCCAATAGCATCCTCTCCAAGGTAACAAAGGCCCTGCTTTCCAGGACATTGATGTGCCCTGGCTTTGACCAGCACCAACTTGCCAGGGTTTTCCAGCCATCGCGCAAAAGGAGGTCATTGATCACGATACTCTCCAGACGCGGGGCACTCCTCTCTGCATCCTCTGCTTTGCTGGAGGTCACTGCCAAATGGAAGCGCCTTGCTATGAGGTCCGCAACGCCCTGGTGGTAGATAGCACTAGGCTTGGTGAGCTTCCCTTCAATTCTCACATGCTCATGGCTTTTTGGGCACGGCACGTTCAGCATCTCCATGTCCAGGCCCCAACCTAGCAACCTGAAAGGCTTCTTGTGAATTGATCCAAGGGCGCATGAGTTGAGAACTGCCTCAACGAAGCCAGGCTCAAGCAGGAACTTCCAAGAAGGCAACCAAGCCATCTTCGAGAGGTAGGGTGTCTCGAGCATGGCTGGAGTGTCCCAGCGGTAGGCAAACCAGAGGATCAAAAAGCTCCGGAAGGCCAGAAGATTCCCAAGAGCCGTCTTGGGGTCTTTTCTATTGAAGCCAAGAGGCTGCCGATAGGATCGTGAAGCTGGATGCTGAGCAGGCGAGAAAGTAGTGCAAGGTGGTTCGCAGATCAAACTTCTAAATCTCTTCTCACTGATCATCTGAAAGATCCAGTTGAGGAGCTTTTGGTTCCCAATGTCATGATGCGGGCTCCGAGAGAGGTCAATTGGAGGGCAAACTCTCAAGCCCAGACCAGCAACTGCAGCGCTAAGGACTCCAGACCCTCCAAAAATCTCCACGAAGTCAAACTCAAACGGGATCATCTTGGCAGGTGATGGCATGACCTCAGACAACAAAGGAGCATCGTCGAGGTCTTCGCCTAAAGACCTGAGCATTGACCTCTGAGGTGAGTCCAGCATGGTGTAGGCCCCTCTCTTGTCTCCTCCAAGCCAGAGTATCTGGCTGAGCTCACTCTCAACCTGGAGCGCTGTGATGGCACCCTTCTGATTGGAGGCATCTGTGGCATAGATATGAGCATCATACGGCACGGAAATGTCAGAGATAGCGATCAGCCCAAAAATGCCAGCAAGAACAAGCTCCTCGGCCGTCGCCCTGGATAGGGACAGAACCTCATTAGCATCACTCTCAGTCTTGTTCCCGAGTGCAAAGATCCGGGACAGAATACAGCTCAGGCACCTCCTGAACATCATGACAGAGACCCAATTGCCAGCCAGACGAGATGCCAAAGTCCTGGATATCACTGGCAGGGTTGCAGCACGAAAGGAAAGGGCCGCCATAGGTAGTCTCTTCGATAGTGGTGCTCCAACTGAGACAAGACCTGAATCTCGGGCCTTCTGATCTGATAATATCTCAGCTCCAATGACCTTGAAGGACTCGGCACCACGGACAGTCTTGTCATCAGAGCCAAAAACCTCCTCCCTTGAATATGCATCCTCAGCTCTCTGTAGAAGGCCGACCGATGCTGAAGCTAACGGGTCAGAAGAGGCAGCCTCACAGCTAATAGCAAAGTAGTCGTCAATCACGAGCCGTTGCCAGATTGGTCCTCTGGGGAAGGGATGATGACCAAGTACTGTTTGGCCTTCTCGCAGCAGACCCTCATCTTGAAGGAGGGCGGTATGACTCTCCAGTGCAAACTCAACCCCAAGGTGGTCTCCTTGGAAGAGGCTGCTAAAGCCACAAGTGACCTTCTTCACGTCTTCTTCTCGAAGAGGTTTATAGGCAGTCTGTCCCAGGCGGTCACCATGCACTTCTCGAGAGAAGCGTTTACTCCCTGCCTCAATCATTCCTTCCCAAGCTGCAAGGTGCCGAACATGTTCTGCTTCAAATTCAAAAGGAAGGACGTTGGTGTGCGCTCTCTCTCGGGAGACCTTCGCCTGGTGATAGAAGTCTTTCCTGTCCGCAGCACAGCCGACAAGCTTTCTGCCTCTTGGACAATGCAGCGAGGTCATGAGGTGACCTGAGGGCAAGAAGGTTGAAGGTCCACGAGGATGGCATTCAGAGGCGTTGAACCACCTCCTGTCTCCGATTTGGCGGTCAACTTCAGAGTTCTTGTGGGCATTGAACACGCGGCATGCAAGCCCAGTAGCATGGCCCGAAGGGAACAATGCAAGCAGGCCACGACTGTCCCAAATCTTCACAAGCTCTAGGTTCTCCTCAAGCTTTTCGAACTTGAAGCTTGGACCAACATTTCCAATGTCATAGCTGTGCAGCAAAATGCCGGGATCCTGGAAAGGGAGCCATAGGATGCTGTCCAGATGCTTCTGCAAGTCCCAAGCTCCTGTGCCTGAGAGCTTCAGCCGAGATGCAATCAGGCTACGGTATGGCTGCATAGGGGAGAACTCCTCAGTGACTTCAAAGTAGTGCTCTTTCGAAATCTTCCCAACAACTTCATCGCAACCATGAGGCTCCGGCATAGGGCCACCATAGTGCAGGTTGAAGGCAGGATGAGAGCCAGAGTACTTCTCGAGCTCCACAAGCTTTGCAATGAATTCAAAACCAGATCGTCCCGGAGGCAGAGCGTATCGAGCTCCAGGTTGATCACACGCAGCAAGTAGCGCCTGCAGCCGTCTGAACACAGAGAGCTGAGCCAGGGAAGGGCGCCTCCCAAGTAGAGCCGGAGCAACTGGCCGAAGACCATTGTGGACATAATTCAGGGCCATCACAAGAACATGCAATGCTCTCTTCCTGCAAACCCTCCTCCACATCGCCTTCGAGAGCTTGGGGCTCCTCTGCTT